CGATATATTAAAACTTTTTCTTTTTTTTTTTTACTAATATGCCCCTGGATTTTCCTGTATGTTTTTATGGACAGATAAGCTGCAATGGTTTCACTTTAAGTGACCAAAGAGGACTACAAGCTGTTGGTGTAGGAATTTTCCCAAACCTCTGTCTCGTTAACCACGACTGCTGGCCAAACTGCACTGTCATATTCAACAATGGCAAGTAAGTGACATATTTTAGAATATATAAAGTGAAGCGGGATATTTTAATGATATAATGCTCTGACTACTTGTTCATTAATGGATATCATTCTTACAACCTAAGTGTATTTATGGGTTTTAAAATAGATCACATGTAAAATGGGGGTGTAGTTAGGTACCAAGACATCTCAGCTGTTACTATTAAGAATGTTTTTTTAGATAGCTTTGCTCAAGTTTGTCATACTCGGCAATCTATTCAGTAAACAGTGAACTATGTTAAAATTAATACTAGATTTACAAACTGTAGACTATACTTTCAATATAACATAGTTCTTTTGGTATTGAATTTACAAAGTCAGTTTTTATTTTAGCACATTGCATTTTTTTTTAGCAAACAATACCACCAGTATAGACATATACCCTTGTTGTGTCCACAAATAACTGCTTATAGAATAAACTCAGCAGTGTTTAGTGCAGAAAATGAAGTGAGCGTTATTCACTTGCTGGTTTGGTGAGAGCTCACTACAGATCATGCACAGCATGGAAATAGAGATGTTGCGAACCGTCTGGGAGGGAGGGACTGCTGGAGATTGGCCGGGATGTGTCAGCTGACCGGAGCTCGCCACGAACGGTTCGCGGTGAACCGCGGCGAGCCGTTTGCGGGAAGTTCGCGAACGGTTCGCGACATCTCTACATGGAAATTTGCAGCAAAATCAGGAACTTCACATGTAATTTTCAGGTGTGTTTTTTTTTTTTTTTTAATTAATGGTTTTTAAATCTTTATGAATATTGTTTATGCATTATACAAAAAAGTGAAGAAAGAACAACCCCGTGATAAGTCAGGTTGTTCCTCTTCAAACCACCCCAAACAGATCAACGTCTAAGGAAAATAAATAAATTTTATTAAGAATAAGACCAAAAAAACCTAAGAACTCATATATGACAGTGGACTAAAAAGTTCTAGTGGAAACAGCATGTATCAATCACTGTTATATGTAGCAGGTAAAACTCAAACAAAGTTAAAGCTACATATGATACTGTGAACACACATTGAACCTAACAGAAGGTCAGAGAGTGCAGATTGAATAAACTTGTATGAAAACAGTCAATTAATGAGGAGGACCATATAAATAGAGAGGAAGTTCAAATGAACCTTCAAGTCTCATAGTAACTCCATATTATACTATATGGTGGCCCCGGTGTATATAAGCACTCAGTATACTGTTAATGAGAGTCCACTGAAGATTAATGAGAAAAAAAGGTATATTCAAACAGAAACAAATAAATCAAATTACCTAAGGACTCACAGATGTAACATAATACTGTCTATAAACTGCAAGGTTCCAGTATAAGTGAAAGTGGTCAGAGCCCTATCCCATATAATAGTCCAAACTCAAAAAGAGTTAGTGCTGAGTATGATTGTATACATGAAACCTGCAGAAAGTCAGAAAGTGCAGTTTAGTAGACTTGCATTGGAAATCGAAAGGATAGGGAAGATAATATAAGCAGAGAGAGAAATAAAAAGTAGAGATGGATATAGATATAAATATAAAGTAAGCCTAAATAGGACAGACAAAACTAAATAAATCCACCTCACAGTAACTCCCTACTAAATAATCATCCCGGTAGTAAAACCGATCAACCCCAAAGTCACTGTATCATTAGAGTACACTATAGGTATAACAATGTTAAAAATACATTGGAAAAAACAAGCCCGACGCGCGTTTCGGCGGGTAAACCGCCTTTCTCAAGAGCAAAATACAATGTATCAAATTAGATCCCCCCCCCCCTTTCCCATCTATATAGCCGTTACTGACCGCCCATAAGGTAGTACTCAGCTGGCAACGTCCAATCTCCTCGCTTGCCGGGATTAATCAATGCGCATGTCCCGCCAGAGTGTCCGCGCATGCGCACCAAACTTAGAAAAAAAGCTCTCTCATAATCAACAGTGCGCATGTCAAAATATCAGTAATGAAGCAGCGCACAAAAGTGAACCGCAAAATCGCCACATACTACGTACACATAAATGAGCAGGCTGTCACAGGAGGTTCCCAATGGATCCTCGAACCTGTGTATTTAGATACAAAACCTCCAAAGCATTCATATGTCTATTGGAGGAAGAATATCCCTACACATACAGGAGATTCATAAGGATAAAAGGGAGGAGGGGGAAATAAAGAAGAAACTAGATCATAATAGTCTTAATAGAAAAATAAAAATAAAACAGAATATATATATTATAGACAAAAAAGTGATAAGAGTAAAGAATTTTCTTTAAAAAACATTTCAAAAAAGTATTTCTTTCAAAATATTTTTACACAAGGCTGGTGATAGTGAGAAAAGGATGGGAGAATATAAGAGGGATATATATAGCTCAATAGGTCATATATTTATATGAAGGGGGCAAAAGAAAAGCCCTCATTCAGACCCAAGGGTTGGAGGGTTTTAAGTTCATATATCCATCTAGACTCCCTCTGTCTAAGTGTTTTATCAAAATCCCCACGTCTAGGGGTCCTTTTTACTAATTCCAATCCACAGAATTTAAGATTACTAGAGTCCCCATGATGGAATTCTTTAAGGTGTCTAGATATAGGTGTCTCGAGACGGTTCCTAGGAGATCTTACATGTTCCATGATTCTGTCTTTAAATGCTCTAAAGGTTTTCCCTACATATTTCTGTCCACAGGTACATTGGAGCAGATATACAAGGCCTTTAGTATTACAGTTAAAGCAACCAATTCCCTCCTACACTGGACTAGTCACCATCCACGACCCCTCAAAGAGGGTATTCCGGTGGGTCAGTATCTCCGTCTTCGGAGAAACTGTAGTGACACCCAGGACTTTAATATATATATTCTGTTTTATTTTTATTTTTCTATTAAGACTATTATGATCTAGTTTCTTCTTTATTTCCCCCTCCTCCCTTTTATCCTTATGAATCTCCTTTATGTGTAGGGATATTCTTCCTCCAATAGACATATGAATGCTATGGAGGTTTTGTATCTAAATACACAGGTTCGAGGATCCATTGGGAACCTCCTGTGACAGCCTGCTCATTTATGTGTACGTAGTATGTGGCGATTTTGCGGTTCACTTTTGTGCGCTGCTTCATTACTGATATTTTGACATGCGCACTGTTGATTATGAGAGAGCTTTTTTTCTAAGTTTGGTGCGCATGCGCGGACACTCTGGCGGGACATGCGCATTGATTAATCCCGGCAAGCGAGGAGATTGGACGTTGCCAGCTGAGTACTACCTTATGGGCGGTCAGTAACGGCTATATAGATGGGAAAGGGGGGGGGGGATCTAATTTGATACATTGTATTTTGCTCTTGAGAAAGGCGGTTTACCCGCCGAAACACGCGTCGGGCTTGTTTTTTCCGATGTATTTTTAACATTGTTATACCTATAGTGTACTCTAATGATACAGTGACTTTGGGGTTGATCGGTTTTACTACCGGGATGATTATCTAGTAGGGAGTTACTGTGAGGTGGATTTATTTAGTTTTGTCTGTCCTATTTAGGCTTACTTTATATTTATATCTATATCCATCTCTACTTATATTTCTCTCTCTGCTTATATTATCTTCCCTATCCTTTCGATTTCCAATGCAAGTCTACTAAACTGCACTTTCTGACTTTCTGCAGGTTTCATGTATACAATCATACTCAGCACTAACTCTTTTTGAGTTTGGACTATTATATGGGATAGGGCTCTGACCACTTTCACTTATACTGGAACCTTGCAGTTTATAGACAGTATTATGTTACATCTGTGAGTCCTTAGGTAATTTGATTTATTTGTTTTTGTTTGAATATACCTTTTTTTCTCATTAATCTTCAGTGGACTCTCATTAACAGTATACTGAGTGCTTATATACACCGGGGCGACCATATAGTATAATATGGAGTTACTATGAGACTGATTTTTTCAGCTTGAAGGTTCATTTGAACTTCCTCTCTATTTATATGGTCCTCCTCATTAATTGACTGTTTTCATACAAGTTTATTCAATCTGCACTCTCTGATCTTCTGTTAGGTTCAATGTGTGTTCACAGTATCATATGTAGCTTTAACTTTGTTTGAGTTTTACCTGCTACATATAACAGTGATTGATACATGCTGTTTCCACTAGAACTTTTTAGTCCACTGTCATATATGAGTTCTTAGGTTTTTTTTGGTCCTATTCTTAATAAAATGTATTTATTTTCCTTAGACGTTGATCTGTTTGGGGTGGTTTGAAGAGGAACAACCTGACTTATCACGGGGTTGTTCTTTCTTCACTTTTTTGTATATTTTGTGCTTTATGCAGGGTTATGCCCGTATTGCCACCCTTATAACCCGTCTCTCTCTGTATTCCCTATTTGGATTTTCTATCTAGGGAATACTTCTATTTATTGTTTATGCATTATTTGTACAATGAACTAAAAAGAATGGATCAAATAATACTCTGCATATGGGCAGAGCTGACTGTAGATCTTACCAAGCAGTCTGTCATCCTGGATCCCATGTTCCCATTAAAACTGAGCACATGACCAGTGATGTTACTTGAGTTATTGGCATCCCCCATGCTTGCCCTTCTTTCACCCCCTCTTTAGATTTCATCTTTGCAAAGCTGACAAGTATGATGTTCCCCTATTTATTCTCTTTATATTTTTTTTATTTGAAATATAATCTATTAATTGTTTTCTTAAATACATGAATAATAAAACATCACAATTCCATTTGAGAAGTTTGTCAGATACAAAATACAGATCACAAAAGATTACATTATAGTCCAAAATTCTTTCAACAGTGCCCATATTAAAGATAGGGACATGGGGGGGGGGTGGGGGTGGGGAGGGAGAGAATTATTATATATTTTTTAAAATAATAATAAATATATATCTATATGAATAAATAAATGAAAAAAAAACTTTTCCCCTTCCCTCCCCCCCCCCGCCCCCCATCTCTCTTACACCTCTAGTTACCATTAAGGCTTTCAGATATTAATGTATCCTTGGTTGTAATCAAGAAATATAATTTGTAACATTCTTCTCCACTATTTATTCTTCCATACATACATACATACTTTGTTCACACATATATTTAAATAGTGTTGGAGCATTTAGGATAATTTTATATATAACATATGTTTTGGGTTATGGGAGTATTACTTAGTGGGACCTTCCATCCTATGCCTTTCCCCTTCCCCTCTATATACAATGACAGTGTGTCTTTTAACAAAACGTTACTTGTCGCGGTGAGCATCATACCCATAAGGGACTAGTTATATAAGAAAAGTTTAAACCATGGTGACCAAATTGTATAATATGAGGTTAAATTACTATTCCTTGCATAAAAGTAATATTCCATTTTCCCTTGGTGTGAAATCTGATCCATTCTGGCACAAATATTAAATTAAATATTATTCAATATCTAGTGTGTTTATCTGACTTAGGTAGTTCTAAAGGAAATAACCAGACATAAGAGTTCAGTACGAATTTACTCTGAAATTTTTTATGATATGATTCCCTCAGTTTTGTTTTTAATCTTATACAATTTTGGGCATTCCCACCAGATATGGTAAAGAGTGTCTGAAGGTTGATTGCACCTCCAACATGAATTGATAGTTAGTTTAGCAAACTTACTTTTTCTTTGGGGATAAAGATACCATCTGTGGATTAATTTATAGAAAGTTTCCTGTAAATTTACGGAATGTACTGATTTCTTTATCTCCGGCCAGGTTTTGCACCAAGTCTGAAAAGAGAATTCTTTACTAAAATCTTTCCCATTTTCCTATAGAAATAATAAGAGCGGAGTTCTGATTAATTATTAATAAATTCTTTACTCTTGAGATTAATTTATTCATATGTTGTTTCTTAATAAAATCGGCAATAATAGTTGAGTCAGTAATAGGGTTATGTTTGAAAAAGTTTTTAATCCTCAAATAGGGAAAAACATCCTGACATTTTAGGTTATAATCTTACTCCAGCTGGCTAAATGTTCTTATATCTATGTTAGACTGAATATCTGCAAAAGTATTTGTTCCCCTCTATCCATCCATTTAAATCTAAATCTTGTATATACAGACGAGGCACCTTTAATAGTGTGGATGAGATAAATACGTGCTTGATACCCAACCTGTCTCTGACCTTTGCCCCTGTTTTGACTGCATCTCTCGAGATTATATTTTTCAAATTTAAGGCTTTTATAAGAGAAGGTTTAATCCATAGTAAGTCGAATGGAGTTTGACCTTTTAAGTAGAATTTCTCACAATGAAACCATCCCTTACTCCAGTTGTTTTCTATTGCTCCAGATAGTATATAAGTTACACATTGTAGTATCATGTAGTAATCCTATATCAGGGAAATTTAGACCCAGTTGGGTGCAATCTCTTTTTATGGTCTTTTGATTTGAGATTTTTTTACCGTTTCATATAAAAGAGTAAAGTTTGTTTATTTTATCTAAAATATTCCCTGTAACCCGCATTGTTATCATTCTAATTAAAAAAAATAATAATATTTTAGGGACCAGAAAAGCCCTCACCCTGTTGATCCGACCCAGCCAAGATCCTGAATGATTTGATTAAGATCGAATAAGATATTAATACCCAAGTATTCAATCCAGCTTTTATTCCATTTGAAATATACATATCTAGCAGCATTTATTTTTGAGATAGTCAATCCATTTGATATTACTTGAGTTTTAGATCAATTTAATCTATAATTAGAGAGAGAACTGTATTCCCCTATTGTTGATAGTAGTACAGGGATAGAAGTTTCAGGAGATGTAAGAGTTAGTATATCATCAGAGTATAATGTAACTTTAAAAGTTTGGCTATTAATTGCAATACCCTTAATTGTCTCTGTTGATCTTATCAGAGCTGCCACAGGTTCGATAGAAATTGCATACTGTAAAGAGGAGAGGGAGCAACCCTGCCTCATTTCATTATGTAAGCTGTAAATTTTCAAATTGAGAGCTGGTTCTGTATATAAAGCCATAAAGCTAACCGTAAATAGGCATTGCATCCCAAAGGTGTCCAAAGTCTGAGACAAACAAAATCCAGCATCTAACGCCAAGAAGACCGATGGACTGCTTATGCCTGTATCTCTGAGATTAAGTCTATTCGTTTTTGAGAATTCCCCTGTTCTTCCTGGAATAAATCTAGATTGATCCGGATGAATTATTTCTGCTATTATATTTTTTAATCTTTCAGCCAAATTTTTTTAAAATATTTTAATGTATAAATTTATTAGAGATATTGGTCTGTAGTTTTCTAAAAGAGTGGGATCTTTCCCTATTTTTGGGATTGGACAGAGAGAAGCCTGTAACAGCTCGTCCTGTATGTTCCCTCTCTCTCCCAAAAAATTAAATAGCCCGATCAAAAATGGGGAAATAACGGGGTCCGCAATTTTATAGAATAACGCAGTGTATCCATCAGGACCCGGTTATTTCCCAGTTTTTAATTTTGAAATCGTGTCCCTTATCTCTTTCAGAGAAAAAGGTTTATTAAGAAAATCTCGAGCCTGGTCGGTAATTCTAGGCAATTTTAGTTTAGACAAAAACATTTTCAGTGCAATCTTGGGAATCTGTCCCTGTTTGAGATTATATAGTGACTGGTAGTAGTTCTTGGGATTCAGTTTATTTACTCTTTCTAGATTTGCTAACTCTAAATATAAGTCTGAGAAAGGTTTCCCTTTTGTTTTTCTAATATATGCATCCATAATGATTAAATATCCCCTGATTGTACATTTTAGAGCCCTCCATAATATTGGGTCTGCAACCTCATCGTTATCATTACGTTGTAAAAATTGTTGTATTTCTTTACATAACTCTTGTTTAGCTGTGTCTGAAATCAAATTACTTTCATTCATTCTCCAATCAGATCTTACTTTGTAATTAGAATTATTTTCAAAGATGCAGAAAACTGGAGCATGGTCGGACCATGAGATATTGCCTATATTTGAAGAAATACATTTTCCAAAATTGGTATCAATCCTAGAATATGATGGGTGTCTATTTGAATAAAAAGTTAAATCTCTCTCAGTTGGGTGTTGGGTCCTTCAGATATCATATATGTTGTATTTAACTAGACAGTTGGCTATTTTTTGAGCATGTCTTGTTTTTCTTATCTATGTTATTACCCTTCCTTAATCTTTTATCTAAACTGACATCGATGACACAGTTCATGTCACCCCCCACGATTAATACTCCCTTTCAATATCTCTCTATTTTTTTCAAACAATGAGCCCAAAAACTTAACAGGAAAATCATTTGGACTGTAGAAGTTTGTGAGTGTATAGATCACATTGTCTAATTTACAGATAAGGATAACATATCTTCCGTTACAGTCTGACTCATGGAAAGTATATTCAAATTTCAGGTCTTTAGATATAATTATCACTATCCCTCTTTTTTTTACGATCTTTCAAACCTGCTTCATATATCACCGGAAATTTCTTATATCTCCAAAAAACAGATCCCTTACTATACCAATGAGTTTCCTGAGCGAAACAGATACTGAATTCAACCCCTGGGTATTGATGGTTACAAATCTGATGCTCATAACGACCAACCTCTGTCCCCATAATGCTCACCGCGACCGCAGCCATATAAGAAAAGAGCTCTCTGTCCAATTAATTCAAGACTCCATAAAAACAATTTTTTGAACAGCACCTTACATATCAGACATTCATACCAACTATCTGGGAACTTTACACTTAGCATCCCAGAAAGCAGATTACTCTGTAACTAAAAAAGTACAAACGTGTGGGAAATGGGTTTGGAGAGATTAGCGTCTTTTTCCCTTTGTAGAAGGAACTCAAATTCATACAATTAGGCCTTCAAGAGTTTAGTGATGGATCCCAATATTTAAGATCCACCATCTTGTCTGCTATAAAACATTGATTTCTGACCTCCATACAATTTAGAATTGGGAGAGAAAAAAAAATTTAGAAAACATATTGATAATGATTATAATTGGGGGATTATAAGATAGTTTTTATACTTATTACCTAATTGTTGCTTTTAGTTTACAATCCACCAATTCAGTACCAATTCAGTATATTATAAAGATATGACTTCAAGTTCTAACAGAAATGTACAATTATACCTGAATATATTGGAAAAATAAATGTAGAATGAAGAATACACATATATATATATACATTGCACCCCCCTCTGTCCTACATCTTGTACATTAATAATTCCACATAAGAGATATCTAAGGGTACGTTTATTTTTCTTTTTTCTTTCCTATCCCTTCCTGCTCTTTATTTTTATCTACCTGCCTTTACCTTTGTGAATACATTTTTATTAGATGTTATCTTAAAGGGTTGAACATTATCAAATTCTTTGACTTTCTTCCCCTTCCCCCTCATATCCCACTTTGTATAATTTGATGTATCCTGCCTAATTAGAAATGAAGTATTCCTTTAAGAATCACTGTAAACTAGCTCCTTCTCCAGTGGGCATTAACATAAAGTTTCAAATAGTTGCACCTACCGGTAATACCAAAACTTCCCTTTAATTAATTAAATTTGTTATTCTCTATGATCTTTGTTTTACATTTGTGATTTAATCCTGAGCCCAAAAATTTTTATTTAATTTCGATTTATATATTGCGTTATTTGCAAATATTCAATTATTAATTTAAACCTTTCCATTAGTGAGTCTATCATATAGTGATTCTTCTATACCTAATTTAATGTGATATCTCTTTGAACTACAATACCCTCTTCTTAAATCCATTGTACGTGACTTGCATCCCTGCTAGGACTCTGTGCAGCTACAATTTCAGTCAAATCATTTATTTTACCACTTCCGAAAGAAGAAAAAAAATAAGTACATAAATAAAAAATAATATTCAAATATTTCCCATTTTGTGCTACCGACCCTTCTTTAATTATTCTGATCCTTATTTCCCTCTGTGAAAACCTTACATGATTTAACTGATAAAGGATTACCCCGCTATCCT